TGCTAACAATGGTCTGTGATTCAGTGTTTGCATACAATGGATGCTGTGGTGCAGTGTGATGAATGCTGACACTATGATTATACAGCAGCTATATGATCATGAAGACTGACTTCTTGTGTCTGCCTTTAACAGGGAATGGGTTAATATTGTTAGCAGTGTAGGCAGAAAAGTGTAGAAACTCCAAACCCCATCATGCTTCACTCTCTGGGAGACATGCCTGTGTGTGTGAGAATCTTGCAATGCCTTATGAGATTTGTAGTTCCCCCCAAAAGCTGGAGGACTGGAGTTTGTTCGCCCCTGTTTTTACATAAATGAATAAAAGCTGATCATTGTAATTACCCCTGCTGGCGTTAAATGGTTTGTCTTGGACCTCTAACTGCTTTATTTGCTGGACAACTTTTTCAACAAGTTGAAAAATAGTTACTGGCCGCGCCACCCGGAGAAAATAAAGGAAAGAAAGTCCAAAATAAAATGTGTAGCAACCACATCTAGAGATTGATGAGCTGCAATGTGTTACATTTTTGCTTTTGGCCTTTAGATATTCTTTAATCTCCCATTATTTAACCCCTTCATGACTGAGGCCCTTTTTTCCATTTTTGCACCCAACTGAACATTAGGGATGCACCGATACTAGTATCGGTGCCAATGCCGAGTATTTGGGCGAGTACTCGCCCAAATGCTCTGATAGTTTTACCAATACTGGAACTTCGTTCAGAGGAAGATTTCATCTGACCGGCAGTGCCGCGAGGTAACATGGAGCCGGGAAACTGGCTCCATGCCGTTTAGCCGGCTCGATGCTAATTGGCCGGGAAGCCGGCTTCCCAGCCAATCGGTGTCAAGCCAGGCAAACAAATATGATAATATGGCGACTTGACCCCCACCCTGTAGACACCTCATTCCCCTTACATAGATCCTTAGCAGCCATCATTACCATACCAGTCCCTCAGCCAGCTGGGCACACACCGCTCTCCAGGATCTGCCACGTCTCCTGTGTGTACAGCGCCCACGTGATTGGCCCTCAGCCTGCTACTGCGCATGCACAGGATTTCTGAATGAGAACGCCGGGCAGTCTGCGCAGTAGCAGGCTGAGGGCTGATCACGTGGACGCTGTGAACACAGGCGACGTGGGCAGATCCTGGAGAGCGGTTTCTGCTCAGCTGGCCCAGGGATTGGTATGGTAATAACGGCTGCTAAGGATCTATGTGAGGGGAATGAGGTGTCTGCAGCGTGGGGGTCGTGTCACCATATTGTCAGATCTATTTGGCCGGCCTCGATGCTGATTGGCTGGGAAGCCGGGCTTCCCGGCCAAACAGAATGGAGTCGGCTTCCTGGGCAATCAGGAGAGCGGGCGGGGGGTATTATTATGCCGCCTGGCTCCCTTGATTGCTCGGTAAGCCGAGTCTATGCTACCGGAAGTATCGGTGAGTACCGAAATATAAATATCGATACCGGAAAACCGGTATTGGTGCACCCCTACTGAACATAATGCGCACCCCAATTCATACTGGCATTTTAGATGAATGTGTTGCTGGGTGATAACCGTCTTCCAGATGTGCTCCTGTGTTGTCACCTTGTCACATGCGCCTTTGATAGTGCCCACAAGTGGCCTTGCTGACACTCTGAATTTTTGCAGTTGTATTAGGCCCCGTTCACATTGAGCGGTTCGCAAATCGCGCGATTTGCATTTTGTGCGATATCGCGCAAATGCTTGCATTGAGCAAGCTTGAATCGCGGCTAAATCCGCTTCAAAAAGGGTCCTGCTGTAGCGACACTCGACCCGCGACAGCAGGACCCTTTGCCCCATTGAGAAGCATTGGAGAGCGATATCGCGCGGTAAATTGCCGCGATATTGCGGGAATTACCGCGCGGTAAATCGCTCAATGTGAACGGTGTCTCAAGGTTTTAGCCGGTGGAAAGCAGTTCTAGAGGAGGAGAGCAGTTCAGAACATCAGGCACAAAAACACATTTAAACGCTTATGTTGTTTACAAATGTTTCCATCGAAGTCTATAGGGTTCAAAAATGCACAACACAGCTTAAAAAATTATATAAAAAAAAAAACAAAACCTTGTACCTTTTACAAGATAATGTAGAGATGTGAACAGCCACAATAAAAAGGAATTGAATTCTGGTGTTGCTCATTGCTCAGGCATGGTCCACTGTTGTCAGTATCAGGAAGCCAGTCCAAAACAATAATACACAGGCAATGCTGGAGTGAGTGTATGGAGACAGGAAGTGGCTGAAAAGGGCGGTGGGGGCGATTGGCACCACGGAGGTGGAAAAAAAGATGCATTAAAGGTGAAAACAGTATTTGGATTGAAGTCCTCTTGGAGCACAGCAAGCAAAGCACTATTTACATCATTCCATTGTTCCTGTGATTGTAAAATAATAAGAAAGTACGACTGTTTAGACTTGAGTGTCATGGTAAAGATTATGATAAAAAATATGCACCAATTTCACAGTGATACATGCCAGACCCCTTTTAATGTCTCATATGGGTTAATGTCTACATCTATCGATCGACTTGTCTGCTGGGAATTGCTGATGATAATGTGTATGAAGTCTAATTTATTTAATGCATCTTTGGGTAGTAGCATAGGGTGGTGTTCTTTATGCAGGGAAAAAAGGGGGTTGTATAAAAAGGCATTCAATCTACAACTGATCTTTTTTATAGATAGAACTTTAACATATTTGTTGTATAAACAAATGTTGCTCTGTTTTCTTTTGATGCATTTCTTTTGTTGTCCATGAACTATTTGGTTTGTCACAGACAAACATTAAGCCAAACAAGCATTGCTTAAACATCTTTATATGTGTAGTTAAAATGATTGGAGTAAGCATTTCTGATAGAAAAAACAAAGTGATCTTCATATCTTGTAGCATGGGAATATTCTTCCTTTTGAGGGCTGGAGACCACAGAAATTATCATTTTAAATAATGTTAAGCTAAGTTGTTTCAAAGGTGTCTCCTCTGTTATGGAGTTCAAAATATCAAAATCTTTGTCAGCAGGAAATCACACAATGAAGAACGTTTTAGGTCGTCTGGTATAGAGCTGCAGCTAACGATTATTTTCAAAATCGATTAGTTAGCCGATTTATTAGGTTCGATTTAATCGGTTAATCGGATAAACAATAAAATAAAAGTTTAAAAAAAGGCTCCAGTGATGGGACTACTAGTTTGTATTGAGGTTGTAGTCCATCACAGGAGCAAGCTTGGATCGATAGGAGGTGGGGAGGAGGTGCGGCACACAGCATGTGGAGCTGTGAACAGGGCCAACTGATCGGAAGCCGATTAATCGATTATTGAAAAAGTTGACAACTTTTTCAATAATCGATTATGCCGATTAATTGTTGCAGCCCTAGTCTGGTATATATTGCCATCTGCATATGATGCTTGCAAGAATTTGGATAATGAACTAATAATTAGAGGTGCACTGAGATGAAAATTGTAAACCAAAACAAAAAACAATGTCAGGCTGAAACCAAAAATAATTTTTTTCTAACCTTTTTATCAGGGGTCTAAAGAGACCCCTGATATTTCCCTTTTTGATATAGAAAAAGAGATTGAGGATGCAGAGTCCTCCAATCTCTTTTTCTGCAGCCCCTTTTACAAATGAACAGGAATCCTCTATATGAGTGCTCCTCTTCATTCATAGATTGTGGATATAGTATGAGTTACTATGTACACAATTGTGAACAGGAAGTGAGGTAGATCACTTCCCATTCATTTAAAAACTGGTACATAGTAACTCATACTATGTTCAGTTATTTACAAGCAATCAGCTTGTATCTGCTCTTGATTTACTTGTCTGCTCCCCATGTGCTTGTTGAGATCAGGCCTTTTCTGCCTGGTAAGTGCTCTATACATTCAGTGCATATTCACAGTTCTGAGCTTAAAATTGGACTTATTATTTATTACAGGTATTTTATATAGCGCAAACACTTTATGCAGAGCTTTACATAGTTGCACATTCACATCTTTATATTATCTTTGTTTTAGTGTGCTGTTTATAACACCCTTGCATTTTAATTATGAAAAAATTAACACATACAAAAAGGAGCCTTACTACACTGCATCACATGGAACACAAAACATTAAAAATGCATGTGTTTTTAAATGGAAACATGAAAAGGCAGCCTGTCATTCTTCAAGACCTGGGAGTGGGCAGCTCCTCTTTAAAATGTATAGGTCGTTGTGGCCAGACATTAGTCATTTTGATGCTTAGCACCAATATTCTAAATCATAGAGTCTTGTACATAAGCTTACTCCTGATAGGGTTATCTTGTTCTGATTTTTCCATTCCGATTTCTATACTAGGAGAGATTCTCCTGTTAGGTCTAAAATATGTGGTTTATGGGCACCTTTTATACTCATTCTCTGATTTTGTACTCAGAATTACTGCAGCGAAAAGTTCTGTGAGGGCTATCGTGACATCATTGGCGGTCACCGATGGCCCAGAATGCTTTTCTCAGTTTCAGTACAGATTTCTCAGGAAAAACGTAGAGTGGGGGTAGTTCCTTGGCTCATGCAAATGTCTCTATAGATGGAAAATGTATTGGCGGTGTTGTTTTGACATCTTATGGG